AACTTCATACACACCATCACAAGGTAATGCTTTAAAATAAAGAACATTATTAAAGAAAGCATCAATAGAACCAACTTCATTATTAAACGAAAAGGTAAACCCTTGTTTGTACAAAGCATAAAAGGAAATAATATTTCTTGCCATTCCTGGCGAGTAACAACACTTATTCAAATCTAAACTAAACCCACTACTTAGCGATAAAGTATAAACTCCAATCTTGGTGACAGGTGAAGCTTTCCTGTTCCCCATGATCAAGTTTATTCTTCCTTGCTCCACATTCTCACTTCTTCTTAGTCCCTGCAAGTCACAACAAATATGAATACCACAACCGGTATCAAGGACCCAAGATTTCGAATGGGGTGAGTTATTAGAAATGATAGTGTAAATACCTGCATGGTTGGGTTTGACTTTCCCATCCTTCACATCCTGCTGGTACTTTGGGCAGTTCCGCTTCCAATGAGCTTTTTCATGGCAATAGAAGCATTCAGCCTCTTTTGGGTCAGAAGAAGGAGTAATGAAACCTTTCTTGGTTCCACTTGAAGAAGAGCCATCAAGGGTCCGAGCCTTGGTACCCTTCGAAGATCTCTTTCTCTTCCTCCCTCGACTTTTCCCGATTGCCAAAACCGGAGTTGAGTTTGGAGTAGGAGTGATAGCAACCGACTTCCCCTTAAGACCTGTTTCTGCAGTCTTGAGAAGTCCCTGAAGTTTGCTGAGAGTGACCTCTTCCTTATTCATGTGATATGTCATGCGGAATTGATCATAGCACGATGGTAGGGGAGCGCAAAATTATATCTATTGCTAGCTCCTCAGGGAGGTTCACATTAAGTTTCAACAATCGATCCACATACCTTTGCATTTTCTGCATGTGGCTCGTGACGGAATCCCCGTCCTTCATCATGGTTGTTATCATGGAGCAGATGATTTCGTACCTCTCTTGTCGTGCACTTTGATGGTATCTTTCCATCAAATCTTGGTGCATTTCATAAGGGTAGAAATCCTCATAGGACTTTTGGAGTTCTGCTGTCCTCGTAGCGGGTAATCATCCTGATGTTTCTGATCCATTCATTGAAGTTGGATCCATCAAAGGTGACTTTCCCACACAAACTCATAAGAGTAAAGGAGCCATTAGGATTTGAGCCAGAAGCATTATTTGAAGACATCTGAAAGAGTAGAACAAGTTTAGTATAGATTTAACAGAGTCCTTAATAAAACACCCAAATGTAATATTAAGGCTAGGATCCAATCACAATATAATATAACTTAGAAGAGGTATGCCGTAATATAAGCTATACCATATTTGAAAGGTAGGTGAATGACGATTCACCAATTTCCACCACGAAAACCGAAATATTAGATATTAGGTTTAATTGGTTTTTAGAAATTCCTAGATTCTTTGAGATTCAATGAACTTTTCAAAGGCATGTTTCAATCTCGAGAGTGCCCTCCAAGTTTTGTGACTGGGATACCGAGGATCACAAAACGAGGTGTGAAGTAACCATGCAAATCACTTGGTACCCTTAAAGTTTATCACTCAATCGATGTGCCGGTAAACCACACATGCTCCACTGATACTATAATAAACCTTAAGTCACCCTTTACCTACCTTGTTAAGTCCAAGTTAGTGTGCCGGTTAACCACACACGCTCCACCAACGACTTAGACAAAGTGTAAAGTGTAATTTCATGGATTAGCACCTTATTCACATTTTCCTAAAGTAACTAAGATTGGGAATTTAATAAAACATTTAGTTACATTATTATATTCATCATACTTTGAATGAGAATTTATAAGTCCTTGTCTTACCCGTTCGGCTAACGACCCTCTACCAGTCAAGCAAGCGGTGGGTGAGAGTAGACACCCATTAAGTCACCATTTTATAGGTAACAACCTTATACCCACCTTATAGACCGACTTCGTGAATGAGGCGTACTAGCGGTAAGACGACTTTATTCTTATACATATATATATAATTATTAAATCATCATAATATAAGTATAAGGGTTGAATTTTAACTTTTAAAATTCTAGGGGTTGGAACTAAAGTTTTAACTTAACTTTATTTGTTCCAAAACTTGAGGGCAAGTTTTGTAACTTTCAAAACTTTTCATTTCTTGTAACTTATGAGTTTAATAGAGTAATAAAATGAAGACTCTTCATTTTTCTAACTCTTGTGTTTGTTTTAATGGTTTTAATTCAAGTGTGACTCTTGGTTTTCCATAACTTGAGGACAAGTTATGGACTCCATTAAAACACATTATGATCAAGAATTAATCTACCACATAGGTTACAAATAATTCCTATGATCATCTAAAACATCATAAGAACAAGAACATGAATATGAACACATTCATAAAGTACACTTAAAACTTTGTAATTTTGATAACTAGTTGTTGTAAATGAATTAGCAAAGACATTACACCACCAAAAACAAGGTTTCAATTACCAAAACAGTTTAGGGTAATGTTTCTAATTCATTTCCAGCAACTAAATCGAAATTCTGCAATCAGTCGACCCTACTCGCCGAGTGCATGAATTTACTCGCCGATTTGGTTGAAGATACACGTGAACTCGCCGAGTCCCCCCTATAGACTTGACGAGTCCACTCGTAGACAGCAAGATTTTCGACTTTTTTCAACTTTTAAGCACAAATAAAAAGCAAACAAGCCTAGGCTCTGATACCACTGATGGGTTTTGAACATTCTAACACTTCCTAAGTGTACATGCAACCCTAATAACCTTGGATCTATGTTTGTCTAATTATCATGCAAAGTTGAATTCCAAGGTTATATTCCTATCTAGCATACATGGGGAACAATTTTAACTTAAAGTATAGATAGAATAACTTACCTTGTTGTTGTTTGTGTTCCTTGAAACCTTGTGAGCCTAGCACCCCAAGTGTGATGCCTCAAATGCTTCACACAACACCAAATGCTCTTGGAAGAACTTATGAGAGAACACACACTTCTCAAAATCGGCCAAGCCCTCTTGTTTCTTAGTGTAGCCGATTTTAGGTGGAGAACATGTTACTTATATAGTGTTGACACATCTAGGGTTAAACCCTAATGTGTCATGACTCTTCATTTCCATGACCCATGGGTTTGTAACTCCCATGGAGCATCCATGGAGCATCCTATGGGTGGAACCCAACTTGATAATCCATGGAGCCTCTTAGCCCACTATACAAGATATGGATGATTTACATAATCAACCCATATATTTAATTAGTTATCTTTTGATCACATAATTAATTCTAAATTAATTCTTGATCAAACTAATCAAATAATATTATTAATATATTAGAACTTATAATATATTAATAATCTCCAAGTGTTATTTCTCTCATTTAGTCTATCCAATTGCAGGGTGCCATGCAACCCAAATGGACCATGCCGGGTCGGGTCAAGTACATACCAGAAATAGTTATGGACTTAGACACCTTATCCAACAGCATGCACACCATAGGAGTGTTAGAATGCTCATAACCCAACAGTGGTATCAGAGCCTAGGCTTGTTTTCAATTATACTTGATGCTACTTGCTGAAAAAGTCGATTTTCTGCTCACTGTTCAGTGAACTCGCCAAGTCCACTGGGGGACTCGACGAGTCCATGTTGAATTTCATCCAACACGTCGAGTTGGTTCATGCACTGGACGAGTTGGAGGCCCTGAGTGCATAATTTCGAGTTTTAATGTTGGAATTGGACTAGGATCATTACCCTAAACTGTTTTTAGAATGTTAAACCTGTTTTTGATGTGGTAATGATTGTGCTTATCCAATTTCAATGATAATTGTTAAAGTTTCAAGTTTTGTATTAAGTTTATATGATTCTTGAAATTTTTTGATATGAATTATGCATGCTTATGAGTTTTATTAGATCATAGAAATTATTTGATATGCTTGTTACTTTGATTGTTGATCTAAATGCTTTTTAATGGACTCCATAACTTGTCCTCAAGTTATGGAATTCCAAGAGTCTTTTCCAACGTAATCATTTAAACTCATAAGTTATAGAAATGAAAGGTTTTGAATAGTTTCAAAATTTGCCCTAAAGTTTTCGAATTTGTAAAGTCACTTTAGAATACTTTTATTCCAAACCCTAGAATTTTAAAAGTTTAAGAATAAGTTAGTCTTACTGTTACTAGGCCTCATTCATGAAGTCAGTCTATAAGGGAGGTATAAGGTTGTTGCCTATAAAATGGCAGCTTAATGGGTGTCCACTCTCACCCACAACTTCCTTGATTGGTGGAGGGTCGTTAGCCGAACGGGTAGGATAGGACACTAATCTCATTAATTATAATGATAGTTCTAAAGTAACTAAACTTTTTATAAATTTCCAATCTTAGTTACTTTAGGAAAATGTGAAATTGATGCTAACCCATGAAATTACACTTTGTACATTGCTAAGTCGTTAGTGGAGCGTATGTAGTTAACCGGCAGACTAATTTAGACTAACAAGGGTGGAAAAGGGTGGCTTAAGTTTTATCATAGATCGGTGGAGCATGTGTGGTTAACCGGCACATCGATTAGGTGATAAAAATCACTACTAGAAAAACAGCCTTTTATGACACACAATGCGTGTCGTAAAACGCTCAGACGACGCGGAAATGTGCGTCAAGAAAGGCCCTGTCATAATTAGAGACAACACGCTTTTGCACGTCGTCTACAGACGACGCGCATTTACGATGCACAATGCGTATCATTAAAAGCCCTGTCAAGAAAGGCCAAGTCATAAATGAAGATAACACACATTTTGTGTATCGTAAATTTAAATGTTTAAAAAAAATATATTTATATATTTATTAATTTTTAAATTAAATTTGCATTTAATGTCTTATAATAGAAATAAAATACCATATACAAAAAATACAATCCATTGCATAAAATTTAATGTCATACAATTCTATTTCTTACAATATGTAAATTAAATTTACATTGTTATTAAGAGGTTTTCCCTAACAATATAACCTAATACTACATTGCTATAAAGGGGCACCTTCTTGTTTTAGTAACTCATCATTAAGCTGTCTGAAGAAGCTCTAAAACCCTTCATCATGTCTCGTAGCTTCAATATCAATCCCAACTCTTTATCAAGAACAACACGAAAATCCTACACAATAATCATGTCAGTTGTACAATATCAATATCAACCAATTAATAATACACATGGTATGTATGAGAGTGGAATCAACCAAATTCAAATCAATATCAACTAATCAATAATCAATATCAACTACACCACAACACAACTAACACAAAGATATTAGCCACTTTTTTTGCATCAGAAAAAAAATGAACTTAACAAACCTGCCAAATCAAGAGAAGTCATGAATGACCCTGTATAAACTCTAAAAAAAGAAAGCAAGTAAATTTAACAGATTAGATAAAGTACTAGACAATAAAATACAAGAGTGAATTATTATAAATAAGAATACAAAAAAGTAGTATGTAACAGCTGGCAGATATTAAAAGTTAAAAGTATACAAACTAATCAAATATTCATTTACCATTATTCATATATATATATATATATATATATATATATATATATATATATATATATATATATATATATATATACCTATGAGTAATTTGTCTCATACGCATCCATAAAATCACCTTCTTTTTTCAAGTTCAGTGAACTTCAATCTTGACATCATACAATCACCACTTTTCCAACAAATGATTTCTCTCGAACCTGTTAAATAATTTACAATGTATAGTGATTCAATTCATGAAATACATGATTAAAATTTAGAGAATGAAAAGTGATTGCTTTATTACCATATAAAACAGATTCGATCTATTCACTGTGCTAAATTTTTTTACTCATTTTGGAATGTTTAGCATCTCCATAACATCCAATTGGACCTTCTTTGTAGTAGTTGCCTAACAATATGAAAGTTCATTATTCTAGTATAACTATGAAAATGGGAACCCAAAAAGATATGGATATGTAAGTAAAGACATACAGTTAAAGCAACAACATGAACATTAGGAAATTGAGTCTTCAATATCCCAAGATTCTTGTAATCTGGACGAAAGTCATGTCCCCAATGACTACAACAATGTGCTTCCTGAAAATTTAAAAAGATATGAAATTTAAATTTTCAAAATTATATTTCTTTATAAAAACTAAGAAAAAAAGAGCGAGTGTACATCAATTGAGATCAAGGAAAGACGTCCAACATGGTGGCATTTTTCAAATTTTGACACAAATTTTTGCTTTTGGAGACTCTTTCTGGTGTAACATACAATACTTTAAGATCCCCTTCTCCTTTTTCAAGAGCTTTGTATATAAACTTCTCATGTTCTTTACTAGTTGTAATCTTATCATGACCTAAAGCAATAAAAATATTAATTAGAGTTTATAATCTGGTAATCAATAGTAAAGGATATAGGATATTAACAAAAACAAAAATAAGCACCTGATCTTGAATAAGAGAAAGTAAAGGACTAAAAACAAGAGCAATTCCATGATGTAAAACAGCTGGAAGTTGATAGCATAGACTTTTGCCTCCACCAGCAGCCATGATCACAAGAACATCTACCCCACTCACGATTGCATTAATGATCTGATACATAAGTATCAACCTCAGGAGACAACATACAAATTATCATTATTAATAAAAGGATTGAAATAACATTATTTACCTCATGAGACAACACAGTTGCAGTTGTAGGTAGAAATGAGACAACAGATTGGAATTTATTGAATACAATCCTCAAAGCGTCGAACGATCACATTCTTCTTCACACTCACACTTGTCATAAAAAAATAAATAAAATTATAAATAAAATTTGATTTTGTTTCATTTTCTACCATTGATAGCTTCCTAACATGTAAATGGATACAAGACTCAAACAGAGATAGGAGGCTTCATGGTACACCCTTTACCCTTCCTTATATTAGTTATGCTTAAATTCAAATAAATAAATAAATAAAGCCTGGATCTTCTACTTCATGAGCGAATTCATTCCCCAATGTTTCATCATTTACATGTTCAGATCTAAGAATTTTGACAGTAACATGCTCACCAAGGTACTCTCCATGGAATATCTCAACAAACAAAATAACTGATATTAAGATACTTGTAAGAATTAGGAATGCAATTGGAAAAAAATAGTGTACACGTACAAATCTCCACAAGATCCAGATGCATTATTTTCTCCAATATTCAATGATGCTCTATCTATTTCTGCATCTCTAGAATGGGCTTCAGTAGCTAAAGCTTTCTATACAGCTGATATAGAATCTGAAGAAGAACCAGACCATGAACCCTACAAGGTAAACAGTAATCCAGTTTGTGCATATGTTTTTATCTTAAATAAGACCACAATACCCTTAAAAAAACACCATGTGATGAAAATCGTAGTAAATGGAAAAATATTTTACCTCGCTTCTAGAAATTGCTTTCTCCATGGCTTTGTGTAAAGAAATTGATTCCTGACCACAAGGTTGCTGAATAAGAAACAATCATATTTGAGTATTTTGGTGTTAGAAAAGAAGAGGAAGAAGAAGGAGAACCTGAGAAACAGTCATATATGAGTATTCCGATAACATCAAGCAGCAATTGTAAGAGCTTGCATATTTGCTTGATCTTCCGAAAAATGAGTCCCAAGAAATAGCAATTACATAATTGCTTGATCTTCCGATGACAACATCAATGTTAATAAAATGACTTGTAACAAAAATTTGGAAATACAAACCACCCAAATCAGAAAAAAACTCTTACACAAATCAAAGCATGTGATCTTAATAGAAAAATAAAAACTGAATACAAATTAGGGCTCACATAATCAAATATCAAAAATGAAATCACCTTTAAAAAAATGGTGGAGCAGGTATCCTTAGAGGATTTGAGTTTAGGTGACCGACGTTTGTCTCGCGGAAGGGAGAAGAATCGGTAAGTGCCAAAGGGAGATAGGAACGGAAGGAGGCAAGATCTAGGGTTCGAGTATGAGATGTAAAATTGGTGGAGTTTCTGTTGAGCCGTGGTCGCCATAGAGAGGTAGAATGGAAGGAGGCGAGAGTTAGGGCTCGAGTATGAGAAAGAATTATTATAGAGTCACCGGTGATCGGATATCATCAGTCGTACTCTAGACCCTCAGATCCTTAGGTTCGATGGTGAAGGCGGCGACTTAGGATTTGCAAAGAGAAGGGAAGGAGAGAGTGATCGGCTGGTGGAGATGTAGAAGAAAGAACGTGCAGTAGAGGAAGGCGGGGCAAGTTCTTGAAAAAAACCCTAAAAAAGGAAGGCGAGTTTTTTAAGTAATTGGGATTTCATTTTTCCCTCCGGATGGAACGCGCTACTATTAAAATTTATAAAGCGACAGTCTTAGACGACACACGTTTTATTATAGGTGCCCTCCGTGTTTTTTTAGACACTAATTTCAGGGCACGCAAAAATGTGTGTTCTAAATCCTTTAAATTTTAAGAGAGATGACATTATTTTTAGGGCACCCACAAATGCGCGTCCTCTATTAGAGAGTGTCATTGTTTGCGCGTCATTAAAGGGCATTTTTCTAGTAGTGAATAAGAGTACCAAGTTAATTTGCATGGTTATTCACACCTTATTTGTGATCCTCGGTATTCCAGTGTGCACATACAACCCTAAATGCTTTGGATCTAAGTTTTCTTTAATTATACATGCAACAAAAATAATCTAAAGCATGAAGCCTACAACTAGCATACAATTTGATATTTACAACATAAAATCAAGTTAGACGAATACCTCCATATTGTAGCTTGTAGAATTTGGCCTTTCAAGAGCTTAACACCTCAAGTGTGATGCCTCAAACAAGTCACAAACACAACGAACAATTGGATGAATATGAAAGTGAGGTTATGAACCTAAAATCGGCTAGGCATTCACCTTAGTAGTCTTAGGGCTGATTTTAGCAAGCTAGGGGTTCATTTTATAGTTTGGAATTCCTAGGGTTTCAACTTGTAAACCCTAATTCACTTGGGCTTTTAATCCAATAACTCATTAGCCTTTTGGACCAACTCTTCATGGACTTTCACAAAGATTTAGTCCAATCCTCATCAACATGGATCTTTAGTCCAAACTATAAGTATTACCGATTTACCTAATTAGTCCCCATAAATTTAATCAGTCTCTTTTGATCACTAAATTGACTACAAATTAATTATTGATCAATACAAATTAAATAATATGATTTCTCAATTAATATATTATACGTATAATATATTAATAAATAAAAAATAACCACTTTCACAAATATCCATCATATTAGATTGGTCTGGTGAAGGCAACCCGAAATGAACCATGCTACACTCGGGTCAAGTACATACCAATTATAGTTATGGGCTTAGACACCTAATCTAACAGTCTCCCACTTGGATAAGTCTAATAACTATTATTGCAAGTACGACTCCAAAACCCGACTAGTAATCGTAGCTCTCAAAATCCGTTGTTGAACTCTAATCTTATCAGCAACGCGTCCATTAGATAAGAGATCATATATTCCTCCATTCTACAAGATATCGTAAGAACTGATACATAGATTATAATGATTCTCTTCGTTCATGTGTTTTTTCCCGATTTCCAATTTATGACGACCGACTAATTGAACAAATCAAATCAGTCCAGGCTTGGCTAAGCGCTTACGGTTGTCATCACTAAATCATCAAGGGGCCTACATATATCGCTTTTATCCCTCTTAGGGTAAAAGGAACGAATAAACTTTGACTCATATGCTTGCTCTATTTACTCATCAAATCACACACAACCATATGTTTTATAACACCAAGTTACTGGTACATTTTCATATCATCAATGTGAAACCGACTTGTAAACTACAACTCATATTGCTCTGTTTCAAGAATATAAGATATTATCGTCTCACAATCACTCATGATTAAATCCATGAAGTGATTCAGATGAGCGTGTGTTTAATCACATACTCAAATCTTATTACAGAAGTACTCATGAATATTGCAGTAAACTTGTGTTATGTCTGACACTTAGACAATCTACACACGGATTCATGACAGTCTTGCCTCAATACCTACTTCTAAAGTATGATCGAATGTGGATGGTTTGAATAATCTTATTAGTCGGGAAGTCAAAACATGCAAAGTGAAACACAAGAATAATTAAATTCAATATGGTCTAAAAACTTTTGAATATAAATAAAACACCTTTTATTGAATCACCATATTGATTACACATTGTTCATCGTATAATGTTTCGATTAATTAACTTAATACTTGAATTAAAACAATAGTCACCCCATGCTCCAAGCATTCACACTATGTTTATCTATGATCCTTACTTTGTGAAATAGATCAATTGTAAACATTTCCAATGACACTCATTTCACAATTCCAAATCATTATCGTTAGTGTAAGAATACTAAGTCCTTTCCACATACTGTAATCTGTTAGATTGTAAGCTTATATGCAGTGATCCTTTTGTAACGACTATGTACACAAGTCACAGAGACTTTGCCAATTACAAAAATTTCCATTGGAAATTGTTACAAGACAATTCCATAGATACGAAGTCTTATATTCAAAGCACATTCTTTTGAACATTCTTATTGCATAAAAGTTTCTAACTTAATCATAGATTCTTGATATCCAACTCTCATTATGGAAACTTTTCCATAATTACCATATGACTATCCATTCTGAATAGTATCCTATCTATTCAAAATTATATCAATATGGTCCATTTATTATTATACTTCCAACTATCCTTAAGCAACCAATCCTTAGCGAACCTCAAAACGTCCTCGACAGTTGTTTAATAACTTTAGTCATATCCAATTCTAGTCCTTTTTCCCTCTTAATTCCCCAGTTATTTGGAAAATCAGAACACATGAATATTATAGCATATGCAATCGGTTCTATACCCAAAGCATATGGGATACGATCCATAATATCTTACATAAATAAAGACATGATACTAGACCAGTCTCTTTCTATAATACTTCTATATATAGAATTCCCATGTTGAAACATTCCAATCTGGTAATCATATATATATATATATATATATATATATATATATATATATATATATATATATATATATATATATATATCCATGACTAAGTCTAATTAATACTTCAATCTAAACTTTTAGATTCAAAATAAAGTATAAGTATCCTCTCCCTTAATATAGCGAAACAACTTTTCAAAATTTGCAATTTCGCAAATTTGTAACCTTTTTTTCCTATAACTAGTATTGCTAACTTGCAACACTTCACATAATAAGCATGCTCCCACGATCATGATAATTATATTCTTACAAGCATAACACTTATGCTCCCACTAGCTTTGATAGGTACTCAGAAATCAGCTGGACTTCTAGAAATCAATACTTATTGACTTTATTTCCAAAGTTTAGATTTCCGATGCGATATACTTCGACATACCTTTATCTAAGCTTATACACCTTTTATAAGAAAGCTCATATGTGTGTCTAAACTATTCAGAACTTACAAAAATGAGTTCCGAATGTTCAAACTATTTGCCATTTCTCACAATTCGAACTATAAATAGGGATGTCGTAATCATAATCGAATTAGAGAACGTAATCAACACAACTGTTATCTCCTTAAAATCTACTTAGTGAAAGCGTTTCCTCACAATCATTTTTATGAACTGGAGAGAAACCTTATGTCACTTAGTTTTTATGATGTATGTGTTCCTATCCATATAAAAATGTCATTTCCAACCATTATCATAAGACAAGGTTTATGACAAAATCATTCTCATATGGACTGAACTTACTCAATCTTAATTTCTTGCCACTTGCCAGCACAAGGGCCTACCATGTCTTTCACATTTTTGAGAGAGCACCCTTACTGATCAATGAAATTTCACTGATCAAAGTGCCTTGCCTTATGCAAACAATTTAGAACTCATAGAACTCATATACATAGTCAACTTTAACTGGATGAACACAGAAACAAGAATATATCAACACAATAGGTTATTAGGACAAGTAAGGAAGGAATAAAATGGTCTTTTACCCCAGGAGTTTGATAAATGAAATAGATTCCTAGTTACGGTTTATGGACCAATTATTAATTAGGGTTTTATTTGATTAATTAGCGTAAAGACCTTCCAGATCAGTAGTCTGAGCATTTATTTGATTTTCAACAATTTGAGGTGAGTCTCCTCACTGTGCTTTGCGGGTTGAAGGCACCAATGTCGGCCCATGAGTGTATGCAGTATGTAATATGTATATTGGGCGGGGTCAGATGCCAGGCAGGGCCTGATGAGTGTATTGTATGCTATTTATCTTAGTGATTCTTGCATGTATTTTATGTATCTGTATGAATGTCGAGCGGAGCACGATGCCAGACAGGGCTTGATGAATGTGATGGGCGGAGGCCATCTCATGTTACTGACAGATATGTTTCGAGCGGGACTCGATTTCGGGCGGGGCCTGATGGTTGTTAGGCACGACCCATTGTATGTTTTATATGTATGGTATGATGTATTTTGGGAAACTTATTAAACTTAATGCTTACAACTTTTTAGTTTATGTTTCAGGTACTTCCGGTTCAAAATGAAATAGTTCGGGATGATCGCATCACACACACCACGACTTTCGTTTATTTGACTCTCATGAATTGAGATGATTAATTGATATATTTTGATTTTTTATGGATTTATAAAAACGCTTTGAATGATGGTTTTGGTATTATTAAAATGAAATTTTTGATCCTAAAAAAATTTAGAATGTTATATAAACGGTAAATAATAAAAAATAATAAAATATAATCATTGTTATACATTTGCTTCATCTGAAAACTAGAGATTAATATTATTAAATATGTATTTCAAAATACTATAACATAAAACTAAAAAAAGTGATAAGGTAATACCTTTTTGTGCATGTGAAAGAGATCAAAATGGAATTTCATTTTTAATTTAAATACGGTTTTCTCGTTTCCCGAAGACAGACCAGATCATACCTATTCTACCCTCATGCAACCCCCTCTATATATATTCCCGCCTCCCTCTTTTGCCAAAAATCCTAATTAAAGCTACCTCGATCCACATAACCCCCCCTTTTCTATCTCCCTCTACATTCTCATTTTCTCTCTCTACACTGCAGAAAACTCATGGAGGCCCGCCTGAAAACCTCTGTCGCCGCCGCCACATCCATGAACATTTCCACACCGACAGAAGAATCTGATTACTCAAACTCCCATTCACCTCCATCGTCTCCCCTGGCACATCCGGTGGTGCTCAGCCCTTGCGCCGCCTGCAAGATTCTCAGACGACGGTGCATCGAGAAATGCATGTTGGCACCCTACTTCCCACCCACTGACCCCCATAAGTTCACCATTGCACATCGCGTATTCGGAGCTAGTAACATCATCAAGTTATTGCAGGTAAACTTTTCGTCAAGATTTTCGTATACTATATATTCTCATTGCTTTTGATAACAACAATTTGACATTTACTCATGTATATATGATGATGATGATGATGTTTTTATAGGAACTTCCGGAGTCTCGTAGAGCAGATGCTGTTAGCAGTATGGTGTATGAAGCAAATGCAAGGCTTAGAGATCCTGTGTATGGATGTGCAGGAACAATTTGCCAGCTTCAGAAGCAATTAAGTGCGCTCCAAGCAGAATTAGCGAAAACACAAGCAGAGGTGGTGAATTTGCAATGTCGGCAATCCAATTTTCTGACACTAATCCGTATGCAAATGGATCAACAACCACCACCAGTTTCGCCACCACAACATCAACAAACACCTAATTATGAAAACGCAAGTTTTTTCGACGATAACGCCAATTTAGGCAGCTTTGAGCCGCTTTGGACTTGATCACCTTTTGTGTTCGCACGAGAAATTTGCTAGTTAACCAAAGATGATCAAATGTAGTTTATCAAGTTTTATTAAACTCAATCATATATAATATAATGTATTTTATAATTATCTTATATATAGTAGTATTTCAACTACAAAGCAGTTGACATTAGGACAAACTATATATAGAAGTAATATAGCGAGGTTGTATTTTCTTGATGTTTAATAGAATAAATGTTTGTGTAGCAGTTGTTGAACCAAACCCAATTTGTATTATTTACCAGTTTAATTAAATTTGCTTGTTTTTTGTCCAACTTGCTATTGACTTAATATAACAAAACCTATCAATAATTCAAGATTAATAGAAAATCACATAAGAAAAAAATACACAACGCTTTGACATTTAACACTTAATGTTTTTCAAGTTCCTAACAAAATAATCAAAAAGATTTATAAAAAGATAACAAATTTTTACTTTTTGATATCTAACTGTTATATGAGATGTAACAATTAACAGGTCATATTTTAATTTTATATTTTTATCTAAATTTTAATTTTTATTAAAAAAAATTTCTATATTATAAATTTTGTTAGTAATCATTTTTTTTTTTTTATAAATTCGTCCCCGAATTAGTTTCCTTTACCAATATACGGTATACCTCTTTAAGTCTTTTTTACACTTATTTCAATATTTTTATATGTTTTAAGAATTTTTACAGAACAAATTTTATACTTTTTTAAAATCTTTTTTACACTTTTTGAACTTTTTCACAACCACTTAAAACTTTTCATAATTTTTTACAATATTTTCTAATTTTTTTACAATTTTTCTTCAACTTTTTTTTAACCTTTTCACAACTTTTTTTTAAATGCTTTCATTTTAATAATTTTGTAAAAAAAGCAAAGGGAATTTTTGAATGGAAGTGTAAAAAAATGTCAAATAAGTTTAATGGTCCTGTAAAAAAAGTATAAGATTATTTGAAAGAAAATAAAAAAAAAGGTTGTTAAAAAGTGAAAAAATATCATAAAAATTAATACAAAAGTCATAAAAATAGATTTGAAAAAAAATATTTTATGAAAATATACAAAATAGAAAAAACAAAAGGGTACGTAGTTTTGATAATATTCGTAATAAAATTTAAAATACAGACCAGAATTATAATAAAATTTTAAACTTCATTTAAAAGTGTAAAATTGACAAATAACTTGCTATATATATTTAATATATAATAGATTTCGGAATTCAAAAAGAAAAATTCTTTTAGATATATATAACTGAAAGATATTCATAATAACTATTTTCTACAAAATATATCGAAAAACATATATAAAAGAGGAATACAAATACAAAAGATATAATGAACTATTTAAAGTAAAAGCATATAAATAAAAGAGATTCATACTAGAACTAATTTGGTTTTCTAAACTCTCATTCAAGATGGACTGTGAAGATCACTATCATCAATCGTTCAAGGTAAAACTAAATTGTTCTGATTTGAGTGTTTTAGTGAAAAATGGTTGTATTCAAATTTCTAGCATGCTATTTGTATTTCTAAGAAAGGAAAATAGTTGGAAGGATTAAAATTAGAAAATAAAATAGAGTTTATAGCTGCCATACTCTTCATGTTTTTCTTTCACTCTCTCAGACAAGAATCAAAATGATATGATTTAAAACATATAGCCATTTGACGTGCATTCAAAATTCCATTATATTTTTTGCATCATACTATTAATCTTCTATTTACATTACAAATTTTGTATTATACAATTACCACATTTTATTTGGATCATTCTATTTGATTTGCATTTAAATTTGAATTATACCATTTGCATTATATCATTTGTCTTCATTTTGCATCATAACATTAATTCATTTATTTTATTTGCATCTTACAATCCCTAAAAACTTTTCCCATCTGTATCATACAACAACATGTTTTATGATAAAATTATGATCCATTTGTCTTCATTTTGCATCCTAACATTAATTCATTCCTTTTATTTGCATTGTACAATCCCTAAAAACTTTTCCCGTTTGTATCATACAACAACATGTTTTATGATAAAATTATGATCCAAACATGTTATACTCTAAAGTTCTTGAATTTGCATTATTGTGACTTTGCTTATATTACTTCATGCACATAATCAAGTCTTCGTAAAGTATTAAAAATTATACTTAGAAAGCTTTATTAGTTCGAATGTTGGACATTTTTGCGGTTAAATTAGCTTCAATGGATGACCAATTGTCGAACTTATTAAAATAATTATATTTAACCTCATGAACAAAATAAGGTTTTCAAAACTATATAAGTAAACTAATACCAAGCAAAATAACTTTTATATTCGTTAGGAATATAACATGATATCATAAGAGGCAATTTATTAAATGCATTAGGTGTGTTTGAAATATCACATTTTTAAAGCTTTTGTACTTTCAAACCGCGCCCTTCTAATACTTTTCTTGGTGTTAAAGAAGAAGATTAAGTTTTAATAATCAATGGAGAAGAAAACAAAAATTCAAAATGATTCCAATGATTTATTAATGACATCATGGTTTAAAAAACAAAGTATCCATTCTATCCATTCTAATATATGGACATGTGATATATGTGATCGTATCATATATAATCCTAAAAAAAATCCAAAACGATTTCATGGACGTGTGCAACATGTGATTATGTCACTTCTAAGAATTATTTTGTTCCGCTCTTAATAAAATTAGTGGTCGATAATTATTCCGATCCATTCTCACCATTTTTTGGATGCTCGATGCTCACATATATATATATATATATATATATATATATATATATATATATATATATATATATATATATATATATATATATATATATATATATATATATATATATATATATATATATATATATATATATATGGGTAAAGTGAATATACCTAACAACTTTATATAAGCTTAGGTACCTAACTCCATAATACTATATCGGTTTGTATCATATTTACATTGTAATTGTCTAAGGTTTTTAAACTTCAACTCCATAACTTTATTACTTCCAAAATCTTTGGACTTTCACCAATATCTTTCTTTTACATCACGTCTTTTTATTGAATACCGGTTGATATGCTTCATATCCTACCGCTACAAATGAAATGAAGTAGGAGAAATATAATGATGAATTTCCAAATTTTTTTGAAGTAAATCAAGTTTAGGGATAAAGTTTAAGAACATTGGATGATTGCAATGAAAATTTAATGCAAAATTACCTAGTTTGATGAGGTTAGGTACCTAAGCTTATATAAGGTTGTTAGGTATATTCACTTTACCTTATATATATATATATATATATATATAGGATATAGATCCGGTAAGAAATTTTTTTTGGTAGGAAGGTAAGAAGTTTTTTTTTTCTACATATTTTTTTGACGAACAAAATAAATAAATCACTAGATGATTCATTTATAAGATGATTCACAAGAAAAAATTCCCAAAAAAACATCTTTATGATTCATTTTTAAGTAAATTAAGAAAAAATTCATTTTTATGACAATTTTAGTGAATAACAACAAAATCATTTTATAAATGAATCATCGAGATGTTTTTTGAGAATTTTTCTTGTGAATCATCTAATGATTCATTTTGTTTGTTCGCGAAAAAAATATGTAGAAAAAAAACTTCTTACCTTCCTACCAAAAATTTTCTTCTTATTTGATCTTGACTCTCTCTCTCTCTCTCTCTCTATATATATATATATATATATATATATATATATATATATATATATATATATATATAATATATATATATATATATATATATATAGATGTAAGATTGATTATGGATCAATTATTTTAGTTATTTCAAGAAAATGATTAATAATTATTATCAAATTAAAGATGATAAAAAATTACCATCTAGTTTTATTGTATGAGTATTTTAGTCAAGTAAGATAAATTAAAAAAAAAAAAAAAAAAAAAAAAAAAAAACTTCTGTAGTTCAAAGGATAATTAATTCTCTTGATTTAAAATTTTAGATTTTTTTAAATTAATTCAATTTAAATTCTAACATAATTTGTAAGCATAATTGATTCTATTTTGTCAGAATATTATTTTCTTAGAGTGATGTTTTATGAAAATATTATGTCAGAATGTTATTTTGTTAAAATATTATTGAAGAATAACAAAATTTTTGAACCACAATTGATTAATAACAACATTCTTATATATTTATAGACATTTGAACTTAAATACAAATTCATACAAAATAATAGCCTTATATATTTTAATATGATTATACATACTCTAATAGAATGTCATTAAAAATGAATAAAATTCTAAAAAAATAATATTCTTAAATATACATTATTTGAATAAATACATTTGATATTCTTCAATGGTCAAAATAGTCGGCTTGATTCCAACTATTATTACGAAAATATGATGTATTATCATAAGAGTGTAATTCTAAAGATCTTGTATGTTCAAAGGTCATTATAAAATAATATTGTTAAAGAAATATAATTATATATGGTCAAACATTATAGCAAATTACTATTAATTGATTATTTATTAGTATAATTTGATTATTAATAGATATTATCAACACTTTTATTTAATTGGAAAACATTATTTTATGAAAATAATATTTACCAACATATTGAGAATTATTGTTTCTAAGAAATAATAATTAAAAAGAATGAAAACTAGTAATAATTCACATAGTATGAATTTATAAGTTATGTACAAATGTTTGATCACTTTGAGTAATCATATACTTGGGATACAACTAACTAGTTAAAGATACCTAGCCATGACGAACCATGTGTTCTTACATGATAAAGGACACTTTTTTTAATTTGTTTATTACCTTATACCATGCATGTAAGAAAGCCTCATGACTTCCTTTATTTTATGTCTTGCTTTTGTACTAAGAGGAGACATAAAAGATAGGCATGCGAGTGAATTAAACTAGTTTTTGGAAGAGCTATTCACTCAATTTTAGCTACCAAATTTGTGGTTCTATCCCTCTCTCCCTCTCTTCCTTGTTCTTGTAAAATATGCTACAAATGAAGGATTAAATATTTCTTCTCTTTATGTATATTTTAGGGATATGTTTTAAATCATATGAACAATATTTTACAAGTGAAGACTAACATCTTTTAGTTGCTTATTCTTGCTTTGGTGGATACATTATAGATGACATATACTTGTATTTTTAATGTCATCTAAATAAACTTCCTAGTTGCCAAAAGGAAACAAATTCTTCAAATGTTATAAACTTCTT